CCCCCTTTTTTAATTTTTTCTCTTTTCCTCTCTCAGGTGTTTATTTCTTATGTTCAGTTTCTTTTTGTTTTACTCTATATATTGTACTTTTCAGATTTTATTTATTCATTCAGGTTCTTACACTAGAGAGACAATACAATATTTCCACCTGTGAGTCTAATTTATTTCTCTTATGAGGTAGCCTCTAGTTATATCTACTTACCTATAAAACTTCAAGTTATCTTTCTTTATAGCTGAGTTGTATGAAAGTCCCCACATTTTTTTTTTAATCCATTCTTCAGGTGATGAGCATTTGGGTTGTTTCCTTTCTTTCTTTTTTTTTTTTTAGGGAACCAGGGATTGAATTCAGACCCTTGTGCTTGCCAGGGAAGCGCTTATTTTACTGAGAGGGTTGTTTCTAAGATAATTATTGGCAAAATTTTGCTTTCAGATGATAAAGTTTCAGCAACCTCTATTGGCAATGAAACAGAACATTGCAAATTAATTAATTTTACTAAATTATACATTTAAAATGATAAAAATGGAAACGTTTTATTATATATATATCCTTAAAAATTAATGTAATATAAAGCTGATTTTTAAAACAGAGAAGTCCTATACATGATATGCACACATACATACACATGCAACAAAATGTATAATGGAAAAAAATGGTCATTGTGGATTCACATCATTAAAATACATGTGAAAATTTTCTCCCAATTTGTGGAGTTTTCTTTAACTCTGTTGGTGGTTTCTTTTGATGTGCAGGAACCTTCTAATTGGATAAGATCCTACTTGTTTATTTTGGAGTGTTTCCTGTGTGGTTTGGTTGCTGTTCATGAACTTTTTATCTACCCAATGTGTTTCGGATTTCTACTTACTTTCTCCTTCAGAACATTTAGTGTTTCAGTTTTGATGTTTAGATCTTTGATGCAGTTTGGCTATGGTTTTGTGCATGGTGATAGACATGAGTTTGGTTTTAGCCTTTGGCACGTGGAGAGAGTTTTTCCACCACCATTTGTTGAGGAAGCTGACTTTCTTCCAGTGAACGTTTTGTTCCTTTGTCAAAGATAGGGTGGCTGAATGTGTTCGTAGTTGTGTCTGCATCTTCTGATCTGTTTCATTGATTTTCGGGTCTGTTTTTTTTTATTCTGTTTTGGTTTGGTTTTTTGCTAGTGCTATGCTGATTTTGTCGCAGTAGCTTTATAGTAGAATTTTGGGTCAGAGATGGTGGTGCCTTCTGCCTTGCCTTTGTTGCCCAGGATTACTTTTCTTCTGGTTTTCTACTGGTTCCAGATACATTTTAGCAATATTTTCTGTGAATCTTTGAGGTGTGCTGATGCTACTTTGATTTGAATTGTGTTGAATCTATATAGCGGTTTTGGGAGTGTGACTGTTTTCACAGTGTTTGTTCTTCCTATCCATGAGCATTTTCTAAAGTCCTCTTCAGTCTCTTTTTTTAAGAGCACTATAATTATCACTACATAGAACTTTTACTTGTAAGATTCATTCCTAAATATCTCGTTGTTGTTGTTGAATGGTATCGTAAAGGGTGTGGTTTCCCCAGCTTTTTTTTTTTCTCAGTGGGTTTGTTGTTTGTGTACAGGAATGCTATTGATTTTTCAGAGTTGACTTTGCACGCAGATATGCTACTGAATTTGGTTATTAAATCTACAAGTCTCTTTGTGGAGATTTTGGGGTCTTCTGTGTAGCGTATCGTGCCATCTGGGAATAGTGATAATTTCATTTCTGCCTTTCCAATCATTATTCTTTTTGTTTCTCTCTTGTCTAACTG